GTTTGGCCTCAGAAATCACTTTCGAATCTGTTCTCTCCTCTTTCCCGTTGCCGTAAACTATCCCATCTTACTTTCCGTGGGATCAGTGCTAGCATTTCCCTGCCGTCAGCCTCCCGCCACCGAGGGTCGAGGGTCGTCTCCCACGCTGCTTACCTGACCGACTGTAAAGGAAACTTACTATCTAACATTAAAGAAAGTAGAAAACCTTTGGACTCCCCGCTGCTCACAGGAAAATCCTAATTCTCTGCCTTGATAAAAGTCTTTTCCTACCTATGTTTCTAGCCCTTCACCCATTTATCCAAAGTTCTCCGCACACTGAGCTTTCCACCCTTTCCCAGACATGCAGGCTGTTTTCTATCTTCCTGGCTTTGCAGGCGCATTTCTGTCTCTCCGAAATGCCCTTTGTCTACCTGGAAACACTTATCTTTCGAGAACTAGTTTAATGTCATCTCTGAGTGGACTGCCTTGGTTTCTGTAAGACAGAGACAGTTGGTTAGTGGCTACCTTTTTTTGCTCCCACACCATTTTGTTTGATTCTGTGAAATGTCTTTGATTTCACAGTTTTGTGATTTGTTTGTTTCCGTATCTGCCCACCTCTCTGGATCGTGAACTCCGTCAAGGCTGGGACTCTGTCTTGTTTACTTTTTTTGTTTTTGGGAGAGACAGTGTCTCACTATGTTGCCGAGGCTGGTCTCAGACTCCTGGCCTCAAATGAGCCTCTCACTTCAGCCTCCCAAAGTGCTAGGATTGCAGGTGTGAGCCACCATGCCTGGCCTCATTTACCTTTTTTAACCAGCTTTCTTGAGGTATAATTTACATACAGTCAGATTCACCCTATTTTAAGCGTACAATTCAGGGAGTTTTTAGAACTGTGTATAGTCATCTAACGCTGCAGTCCCCAACCCCCAGCCACGGCCGGTACCAGTCGATGGCATGTTAGGGACTGGGCTGCTGAGCTTCGCGGCACCCCCCACACACAGCCCCCGTCTGTGGAAACCTTGTCTTCCAGGAAACCAATCCCTGGTGCCAAAAAGGTTGGGGACCACTGATCTAACTCTCATAGTCACGATGCAGACCATTTCCATCCCCCCGGACCTCCCACAGCCCTCTGTGCAGTCAGCCCTTCCTCCCGTCCTGGCTCCTTTGGCAAATGCGGGTCCACTTCCTGGCACAGCAATTTGGCCTCTTCTAGAATTTTGTGTCCGTGGAATCTGGTGTCAGTGATCTGTCTGTTCACACGGCTTTGGGTGTGTGAGACATGGTCCTTGGTATATGACGTCTTGCCTAATGCTCTGGAGAGTCACGCGTGTTGTTGCGTGTGTCAGTGCAGTTCATCCATCCGCCTGTTGGTGGAAACATGAGTGTCCCTTTCTGGGCTAATGCAAATAAAATTGGTGTGAACGTTGAAGTACAAGTCTCTGTGTGGTCGTATGTTTTCGTCTCACTTGGGGAAAGCCCTAGAATAAGACTATTGGGTCAGATGTGTTTATGGTATTTAAGAAACCGTCACACTGTTTACCAAAGTGGCCGGACCAGTTTGCATTTCTGCCTGCGGTGTGAGAGATCCAGCTGCTCCCAGAACCTCCGTCCGTCCGTTACGCTTTTGTTGTGTAGTGTCTTAAATAATAAAATGTCTTTTAAAGAAATGAAGGGAAATACAAATACGCACGAGTATGTATCTTTTATATCCACCCACGTATTTGCCATTTCTGTATCCATGTATTTTATTTCTTCCCCAAGGTCTATAGGTCTGAGTTTCCATGAGGCATTTCCTTTCGGCTCGAAGATTTCAGCATTTCTTCTAGTTTAGTTCTGCTGGTGATGAATTTTCTCATTCTCATTTACCTAAAATTTATCTTTTCTGGCCTTTGTTTTAGAGATGTAGTTTCACTGGATATAGAATTTATAGAGTTAACAGGGATTTTTTTTAAAACCCTATCATGTCCTATTTTCTTTTATTCTCCATTTTTTCTGATATGTCAACAGCCGTTTGTATTGTCACCTTGCATACAGTTGACCCTTGAACAATACAGGTTTGAACAGTGCGTACAGGTCCACTTATACATGGAGTTTTTTCAACCAAAGCTAGATCAGAAATAGCAGTATTTGGCTGGGCGCGGTGGCTCACGCCTGTAATCCTAGCTCTCTGGGAGGCTGAGGCGGGCGGATTGTTTGAGCTCAGGAGTTTGAAACCGGCCTGAGCAAGAGCGAGACCCCGTCTCTACTAAAAATAGAAAAAAATTAATCGGCCAACTAAAAATATATAGAAAAAAATTAGCTGGGCATCGTGGCACATGCCTGTAGTCCCAGCTACTCGAGAGGCTGAGGCAGAAGAATTGCTTGAGCCCAGGAGTTTGAGGTTGCTGTGAGCTAGGCTGACGCCACGGCACTCTAGCCCGGGCAAAAGCGTGAGACTCTGTCTCAAAAAAAAAAAAAAAAAAGAAATAGCAGTATTTGCCGGATGTGAAACCCAGTCTGTGAAGGGCCAGCTTTCCGTGTGTGTGGGTTCCACAGGGCAAACTGCGGGGTTTGCCATGCACAGATTTCGGTGGACACCGAGAGGGAAGGGGGTGTCCTGGCCAGTCTCCAGCGCAGACTGAGGCACTACTATGGGATGTGTTGTTTTTCTCGGACTTTTTAAAAGATTTTCTCCTTGTTTTTGGATTTCAGCAATTTTTTCTGTGATATGCTAAGGTGTCATTTTCTTTATGTTATCTGTGTAGGGTATATTGAGCTTTGTGGATCTGTAAGCCTATGTCTTTCACCATATTTGGGAGATTGACATTATTTTTTCACTATCTTTTGGCCGCATTCTCTCTCACCTGCATTCTGAGACTCAATATACACATTTTAGACAACGTTTATCGTCTCACAGATCACTGAAACTCTCGTGTCTTTTCCATCTCTTTATTTTTTTAGCTGTTTTTTAGGCTGTATAATTTCTGTTCTGTCTGATACTTCCCTGATTTTTTTCCCCGCCCTATCCAAGTTCTGCAGTTAAGCCTACCTGATTTTTCATTTCAGATCCTCCATCATTTGGTTCTTTTGTCTTTTGTTTGTTTGTTTGTTTGACACAGAGTCTCACTCTGTCGCCCTGGGCAGAGGTTCTTTTTCTGATAGTTTCACAATTTTTGGTTTTTGTCTGGTATTTCCGTGTGTGCATGCCTTGTGACCATGTATCCTGAAAGTCCCAAACATACGCATAATAACTACTTTGAATTCCTTGTCTGCATGGGTCATCTCAGGATTGAGTTCTCTCGAGTGCTTGCTTTCTCGATAAGGGAGGGGCTCAGAAACGCTCCAGTGTGCACAATGAAGCAGGTGGTCACCCTGCTGCACTGGGCAGGAGCCAAGCTGACCATCCGCGCTGCCCGCTTGCGCATCTCTTCCCCGTGTGCCTTTGGATTCACAGCCACATAGACATTGTTTTGTGTTTTTGTTCCACGTTGGGTCTGGTTTCTCTTTTTGTAAGTTATTTATTCTAGGTGGGTTAACCTGAGGAGGTGTGTTGAAGCATGAATTCAATGTCTCATCTTTATCAGAGGTCTCTTTTCTCCAAAGCAAAATGCTTTGGACATTTGAGAAATTTTTTTTAATTGCTAATAATTTAGTTAATATACTTGAACTGAGTGAAAGTCTCATTTCAGAAATAAATATTTTACCTGCTTTTCAATAATCTTATTTGTATATTCCCTCTCCGTTCCAAATGTTAAAAAAAAAAGGTTAAATTTAACTTGAATATACTGGGAAAAAATAAATTTATACGAACTAAATTGTAATATTAGAGCTAAAAGTAAATGCATCTGATGTTAAATAAGAAATTAATTACAAATTCATTTGGAGTCTGATCTTTACCATAAGCACAAAAAAAGTACGTTGATAGCAAAGGTTATGAGTAAATATGTATGTATGTATACCGAAATGCTTTTTATATATGCTATTTTTAGTGTTTGTTTGCATTTGTTTATAATTATGCCTAGCTACATTGATTTTTCAGTAGCATTATGCAAATTAAAAATAAAGTAGCTGTCAATATTAATGAAAGTATGTTTAATATTTTTCTAAATTATTAATTTATGTTTGTATATTTATTTTTGAAGGATAAAAGCATGTAAGGCTATCAGTTTGCCTTTTGAGTATAACTTTGGCTGTATACATGGACAAGGTTTTAGGGAATTGGAGAGAAAATTAATATTTGTTAAGAATTATTCCCTTTTATTAGATGATTTTCAATATATTATTTAATCCTCATAACAACCTTGATTTCTTTTTCTCCATTTTGGATTTGAAGAAACAAAGTAATATATTTTCCCGAGGTGATACAGTATGTGAGTACCAGAACAAAAATTTGAACTTAGTGCTGATTCCAAATGCGGTTTTCCTGTGTATGGCAGTTCTTCTTAGAAACTTCCTGAGTGTTATTGTCATGATTTTCTGAATATTTTTAGTTAGAGTTTTGATTTTCTTTTGGTCCAAAAAGTTATTTAATTAGTAAGACTGTTTTTCTTTTTTTATTTGTTTATTTGCTTTTAATATCTAATGTTTGTTTAATTGTATAAAAAACCGAGGAGACTGGGTATGGGTTTTTTGGTAGGTGAGAGAGTTGTAAAATATTTATAGAATGAAGGAATAGTATTTTACACATGAAAACGCGGCAGTCCAGAGGTGATATGATGCCTGTCGGCGGTTATGCTGCTGGGTGGGTATCGTACCGATTACACTGCTGGCTGGACTGGGCCCCACGTTTCCTGGGTCCCTCAGCTCAGTGTTCTACCACTATATGGAATGTGTTTTGGTTTTTAACAAATGTCTTTTTTGTCCTTCACTTACAGATATTGGTGATGTTAAGAAGTTCAAACCAGGCTACCTGGAAGCTACCCTTAATTGGTTCAGAGTTTATAAGGTGCCGGAGGGAAAACCAGAAAACCAGTTTGCCTTCAATGGAGAATTCAAAAACAAGGTGAAAATGAGAATTTTTATTTCAAAATGTGCCTCTGATACCTGTACAGTATTCGTTTCACTTTGGGGTTTCTTACGTGAATCTTTATGTAGAGCACGATAGCAAAAGTGCCTTTTACTGGCTCACATATTTAAGGACATTATTATTTAAACGTTTTTAATTTTTTAGAGATCTCTCTAAGTGAATCAACAAAGCTAGAAAACCTCTGTTTCCATCTATTTATCTATCAATAGCGCCTTAACCTCAGAAAATGAAGGAATTTCATAATCAGTCTAATTCTGCAAATTGTGTACAGAAAAACCCTCCATTTACAATTTTGGGGAGAAAAAGTTACTTACTGATAATGTAAATCCACAGGGGCTTCCCTCCGAAGTGTTTACTCTGTTGTGACTGAATTAAGTTGCTTAACAGTTAAGAGGGCACTTGAATTATCTTCCTGTCGTAAGATTTTTATATTAGAGTGCCACAAATTACCACAAAGCGTCTCTAATGTGACACCAATGGAGAGAGTAGGCCAAAGAGTTAAAGTCTAAAACATGGAGTATTTTTTTTAAAGTTATTACCGCTAAGTAAATTGCATATTCTAAACCAACTTTTAAGTGAATACTGATAAGTGTGTTTTATAAGTAAAATAAGGCATGTTAATGAAAACTTAAAATTTACAATAAGCATTTTATGGTATAAGAATCGATTGCTGGACCCAGAATTTTTTGAAAGGCACATTAAAAAACCCTTCATATCTTGAAAGCTTTGTCTGGGATTACTAAATACAAAACCATTATGTTAGACTGAATTCTCTCCCTTGAAAATGAAATATTAAAAATGTATACAATAAATTATTTTTTCTTTTTCTTCAAAAACTAGGTTGTATGTTATGTTTGGAATAATACCAATTTCAAACCTATATAGTACTTTTGTGGCTCCTTACTGCCTCAGGTTAAGTCTGCCAAGTCATGGATTTACACAGAGTGAGAGGTTTTTTGTTTTTTGTTGGTTTTTGACAAACATGAATTCTTTTCTGTATGAAGACTAAGTCATTTCAACAGTCTCTTTAGAAAATAAACACTTTATGCATTGCATTGCTTTTTGCCACTGCTATTTAAAATACAGAGCCTGTCTTACTGGTTTGGTGTTGCTATGAAGGAATACCTGAAGCTGTGTAATTTATGAAGGAAAGAGGTTTATTTGGCTCATAGTTCTACAGACTGTGCAAGAGGCATGGCCCAGCATCTGCATGTGGTGGGGGCCTCGGGCTCCTTGCGTTCTTGGAGGCAGGCAAAGGGAGCCAGTGTGTGCAGAGATCACATGGCGAGAGAGGACATCAAAGAAGAAGAGGCGGGAAGTGCCAGGCTCTTTTTAACAACCGGCTCCCTGAGGAACTGGCAGAGGGAGAACCCACTCACCCTCGAGGGAAGGCTTCAGTCTATGCAGGAGGGATCTGCCCCCACGACCCAGACACCTCCTGATAGGCCCCCCTCCAACACTGGGGGTCAGATTTCCACGGGAGGTTCCGGGGGACTAACATCCAACCTCTAGCAGAGCCTAACTTTAGAGAATTAAATTGTGCTTCTTTGACATGGTCCAAACAATGGCTCCCATCTTGCAGTGTAGGTTTTTCCTGACTCTCCTTTAAGGAAGTACTGGAATCGGCTCTAAATAATCACAGTTATCTGAATAATTTGGTTAAAAATCTTTCCTTGTATTATCCAGATAATAAATTGTATTTCTTGTCCTATGTCTTAAGGGAGACTCCCCAGCACCGTCTCATTGAGAACTAAGCCATCTTCCTTCCTTCCTTCATATACAACAATAGACCCGAGAGAACATTTCAGAGGTTAAAGTCACCATTATTATTATATCTCAGTTCCTCAGATTGTTTATTTTCTTCATTATCATGATGCGATGAGTTGTCATTGAAGGAGAAAGGAGCTACTAGGAATTAGTTAACCAGCAAAGACTGTCTTCTTAAGGAAAATAAGCAACATTTTAGGGGAAAAAGCTAAAGAATTTTCTGCTTTGGAATAAAAAAGCAAGTTTTTCTTAGATGGTCTTACTAAATGTGTATCTAGCAAGAGGTGTATCTACTGTTGACTGTGCATTTTTACATACCATATGAATTAGTACTTGCAGACAGTGGGCAATCTAAAATCACTTTGCAGTCAGACTGCTTGCAGTTTGGACGGTGATGAAATTAATGGGTGCTTACTACTCAAAAGCCAGGTACTGGCTTTAGCACTTTACATACTTCTTCTTATTTATTCTTCCATCAACTCTGCGATTTAGGTAGGAGTTGGCAGGCTTTTTTCTGTAAAGGCTCTATAGTGTGTATTTTAGGCTTGTAGGTTGTACAGTTTCTGTCACAACTACTCAGCTCTGCCCTTACAGCACTAAAGCAGCCACAGGCCAAACACAAACAGACATGACTGTATACAGTAAAACTTTATGTGCAAAAACAGGTGACAGGCTGGGTTTGACCCATACGCCCTAGTTTGCCCACCCCTGATACAGATTATCCCCATTACATCCCACTTTATAGATGGAGAAATTGAGGGTTAGCGGGGTTGGGTAACTTGCCCAAAGTGACACACCTGGTAAATAAGGACGCCGGAATTTATACTGAGGTTTGCTCGACTCGGGAGCTGATGCTCTTGACAGTTAACATCATAACGAGATTAGTTCTGTTAGTATAATAATGTGATTGTTATTTTTGTTTGAAACTAGGCTTTTGCTCTCGAAGTTATTGCATCTACTCATGAATGCTGGAAGGCGCTGCTGATGAAGAAGTGCAGCGCGGGGGCTATAAGCTGGTGAGAATTCCTCTTTGCAGACAAGTTGCCATGTTCAGTAATGTTACCATTACTGGTACTAATGGCCATACAATACTATTAGATTTCAGGTTTTTTTGAAAGGGAATTCAGATTTTTTCATTTGAAAAGAGGGAGCCCCGTTCAGTGGGCCGTGCTGAGCCCTGGCCCTGTGGAGCTGGGAGTGGACGTGAGCTCTTTCTCAAGGGACCTGTGGTTCAGTGGGGCTGCTGACAGGCAGACAGGCATTGATCGTAATACCCTGTGATGTGTGCAGAGGCGGGATAAAAACAGCGATTTTTCAACTTGCAAATTTATGGTTATGTATTTCTTGGTAAGAACAGTAAAAGCCTTCTTGTCCAACATGACCTGGATCATTGGCTGATTGGTTAAAAGGAATGCAACAATAGTAACATCACTCAGACATTTTATTTTAGTTTAAAACATTTAAATGTGTATTATTCACCCATCTTTAGATATAAGGCTGAGCCCTTTTCTATGTAAATTTCATATAGATTTTGTCTATATGTTTTAATATAATATAGAATAGAAAAAGATCCTGTAATCTTTAAACTCCTTATAACTTAAAAACCCTTACAGATTTTTTATGTTCTTTTGTTAAAATCTTTTTACAGTTAGTTTCTACACACCAAATTTCACACCAAGTTTTTGTAGTGATCGCCTTCATTGAGGCTAAAAATTTTAGAGCATCAGTATTGTTTTTACCCTTAGTAGTTTTAGAGCCTATTTAATACTCATGAGTTCTCTTTCCACACTTTTTTCATCGATGAGCATAATTGCTACTTAACTTATAGTAAGTACGACTGACATAAACAGATTTGGGAACAAAGACAGCTGGGTCTTGGTGAGTCTGGCTGCAGGGAGCAGAGGCACATCCCTCTGGAGAGCAGAGCGCTGCCCGCTCCACTGCCCCTTGCAGAGGTGGCGCTGGGATACTGTGGGCAGGGTGTCCCCAGCAGTCGCCACACGTAGGGAAAATGGGAAACCGTAGCTAAATGTACCTTTATTTACCAAATACTCATCATAAAATTTTACAAAATGTTTCCCTTGTATGGTGACTTTTGGGACACCCGGTGTTTGTAACCTTGCCTGAAGGGATGTACGAGGGTTTTTAGTTGTCCTAGTTTTTATTTACTCAGTTCCTTATTCATTGGCTAAAATTATATAGCCAGTGGGGAGTATTTGGAGTTGGGTTTGTTGTTTGTTTTTTCTTTTTGGTAATTGTCCCTTTTTTTGTCCTGTTTAATAATAATATTTTCTTTTTCTCTCTAGCACCAACGTACAGGTGTGTGACAGTCCTTTCCACTGCACTCAGGATGAAGCGAGATCCTTAGTTGAGTCGGTAAGGCCCAAACGTCCAGGGTATCCTTTAATCTCATACGCATCACAGGAAGTCAAGCAGAAATTCTGAAATATTTAGCAGTGAAATGTGTCAAGTCTTTTTGGGAAGCATGAAGTTTAAAAATAACGTCGAAATCTATTTTTTTAATTCAGAGATTTTAACCTAAACACTTTAAAACCTTTAAGTTTTTAAATTCTATTTTTGAAAGCACATTGACCATTTAGCTAATTTTACAGGATGCTGTTTTTTGAACATCATCAATTTGTTACTGTTTATATGCATTTGCTCTCTGTACTGCTCTGTTCTCATGAGTTATCCACCAGCCCGGGTCTGCACTGGGACTGGCTGCTGGTGCAGACGCATCCGGGCTTAAGAAAATGAAATGGTTAAGATTCTTCACGATTCTTTCCTTACTTAGTGTGGCTGCCTCACAGGCTCTCCTTCTCCAGCTAAGAAGATATCCCTGGAGCCTAGCGTGACTTAGTGATAACGCTGTATGGAGACAGCTGAATTTATTTGTAAATTAATGCTTGATCGGAGGCCACTAAATGAGAAAATTCAGAAAATCAACTAATATTGCCATAGAAAGTGTGTTCCGCAGTGATCTCAGGCTAGAAATCTCATTTATAAATTAAGCGTTTTTAAAAACGAATTATGAGATTGAAACTAGTGAATTTAGATCTGTATATTAGGAACAACTAAAATATTTGTAAATGTCAGTTGATCACTGCAACTGCTTTTAATTTATTGAAATTTTTTGTCACTAATTTATCAGCTGTTTAATCAGTGCCTGCTATGTGGTAAGATCTAGATGCTGGGCAGGCAGAAGTGAAGAAAAGACACAAAACTTCTGCTCTTGTATAGCTCACCTGTTAGTTGGAGAGATGGATGATAAATAAATATGTATGTAAAATATACAGTATTTCAGAAGGTGATAAATGCCTTCTGAAAATGGCAAAAAATGAGCAGGAGTGGGCGGGACTTACAGTTGCTAAAAAGGCAGTCGGGGACAGCCTTGCTGAGGGCAGGGCTGACACACGAGTCAGGGTCTGTAGAAGGCAAAAGAAGGAGTCAGGTGAGTATCTGGAGGAAGAATGTTCCAGGCCACACTCCCAAAGGCCCTGAGGCCGGAGGATGCCTGAGTATTCAGGAATCAGCCAGGGAGGCCGCGGTGACTGGCAGAGTAGAGGAGGCGTGGAGGAGAGGGGAGGAGGTGAGACTGGAAATGTCTGGAGCCGGGGGTGGAAATGGAGGCAGATTCTGAGAGACCCTGTGACGACTGTTTCAAGGGTTGTGTTTGTTGTTCTGGATGAAGTAGGAGCCATTAAAGGGTTTTGAGTAAAGGAGTGATTTGATCCGACCGAGACTTTAACGAGATCATTGTGGTTGCTGAGGATGAACTGCAGGGAGATGAGGGAAGATGCAGGGAGGACATCACAGTAATGCCGGCCATGATACTGGTTTATTTTCTCCAAATTATCAATTTTGTATCTCTGTAGATTATATTCTGAACTTGGTTTTCACGAATAGTTACTATTACTTCTTTAAGGAAAAGAGTAAAGGAAAACACAAACCTTTTCGTCTTTGTCCATGTAATCTGTCTCACTAACGTTAGATTAAGACGATTCCATTTATTTCAGTTTTGGATTTATAAATAATAGATATGGAAGATACTTGTCAAAATTAGCTGCAAGATTAAAGTTTCCATATTGCATCCTGTTTTTTAATTCCTTCCCTTCATATTAGTAGGAAAACTGTCCTCTTAGAAAAAAAATAATCAGAGGATGCACGTGTGGGCTAGATAGGTGGATCAGGGGAGTGAGATAGAATCCGGAAACAGAGGCATGCAGCCTCGTCACATGGCTGCCTAACTCTGTTGCACCACATACAAATGAAGAAGGTGCTGTACTGAATGATCTTTCACTGGGAATACTGCAGCAGAAATTCACAGTCTAGAGAAACTGGTCCCTCTTCATAAGCTCAGTGGAACTTAACATATCCCGGTTTCACCATTAAATATTTGTAAATCAAAGAATTGCCCCTATTAGCACCCTCATTAGTGATTCAGGGCTCTGAGAGCCCAGATTAGTTAGCACTTTCTCATCAAGAGTAAATGTATCAATTTGTAATAATGAAGTTCTCTGTAGTAAAGCATTTTGACCTGGCATTTCCTCTCTTCAGAACCACGCTGAAACGTCCAAATCAGAATTATTTGGGTCTGTATTTCCAGGTCTCTCTGCTTTGCTACGCACTGAACATCGCACTGCGTTTTAAGTGATGTCGGTTTTTGTTTGTCCCTTGGTCGCTGAGAAAAATTGAAGACATTAAAGTCATCGATCAGACTTGATCAAATTCAGACCTTATCAAGTCCTGGGCTTGTATGGAAACAAATTATAAGACCCGAAATTTGTTAGTGGGCTTAGAATGAGTGAATTCAGAAGTGTGACGTGTACCTAAGTGATATTGTCTTGAGACTGATTGGTTAAATGAGTCTGCACCACCTGAATGCAAAATTGGGAACCTGTTGTTTCCCCTTTAATTTTGAGCCCTCACAGTAAAATGACAGACTGTTAAACCTTGTGTCGTATAGGAAAGCAGGGTACTTTGTACTGTTTCAGTGTGCTGTGTCTGTTAGTATGAGCAAGTGTGACCTGCAGGTGAAAACGTTTATAGGGGCCTGTGAGTTATTTGAAGGAGAGACACTTAAGTACAGAGCAGTTGATTTAATAGTTCATATTAATTTAAAATACAGTTTATATATGAATAGAGACAGAGGCAAGAGTAGGATTTCTTTGGTTGATAAAAGAAAGAGATGCTTTGATAACGAGAACACTGGATTTGTTTGAAAGAAATTACAGATGCGAAGATTCATGAGCAGTATTGTTGGGATGGGGAAGAGGATGGGACGGCATTTTTAGAATGAGAGTATAAAACAGGACTCACCGACGTGTGGAGATTTATCGTAGATGATTTTAAAGGGTCCATGTTCATTCCCTATTACGAAATTAGGAGAAACAGGTCACCAAAGCCCTTCCTCAGTGTCTCACAGTGAAAATGCAGTGACAGTGGCCCGAGTGAAGGGCGGGGTGGAGGCGCTCTGCGTACCACCCCGCACGTTTGTCCGCTCTTCCGTTTTCTGTAAGCGAGTGTTATGTTTCTCATTGTGTTTAAGAATCAGGAAATCATGGGCAGTAGGTAAAGAGTTAAACAGTTGATGCTTATGTGAGCCCATTATTGTTGTTGTTTACAAATTTAAATGACAGTGTCTCTTTTAATATGGAAAAAATGTTTTTTAAAAGTTACCTTCAAACTTTGTCATTTTCTCTGAGTCTCAGACTTAACCATGATGTTTGCTTTTTTTTTTTTTTTTTTACAAAAGGCTTTGTATGTTTGTATATATTCTACCAACCAAGAAATATATTTTAAAAATAAATAAAACTATTCTGGAGATTATTTTTTAAGTAAAATGTAGTGATAGAGTAGCTTTCCCATTTCTTTTCTATAACGCTTTTTAGGTTAATGAGAAGTTGCTCAATTATTCTATTTTTATACATAATCCATTCTCTTCCTCTGAAATGTTTGGCAGCTCCAGCAAAAAGCAACTGCTAATTTTAAACAGGAAATCTAAACAACTAATTTTCCTACAAACTTTGTATAAATGGTGTGTCCTGCACAATTTAGAGAGTATAACAGTTTCAAAGAATAAGCAAGTTACAGTTTTATAGTCTATTTAGAAAAATAGAGCCATCAAACTCCAAATGCCAAATCTCAGTGACTACAGTTTTTATGTTGTGGTGTTACTCTCACACCCAGATGTAAGTCCTGCTGTCCTAAAAACTAACCAGGGTTAGGCATTTTTTCCATGTGAGGAAGCTGAAAAGAATTTTTCTTCTTTTTTTGAAGTACCCGAGGATGTTTTTTTAAAAAAATTTGTAAAGGAGTCTTTCTTATTTACATGGTTACATCATCCTTTCCTTTGACATAAAGAAAATAAAACAAAGTCTATTTGATCAGCTTTTTTCTTGAAACAGAGTGGAAAGAAAAAATAACTTTCAACTGTGTATGATTTGGGAGCATGTATTGGGGTCCCCCGCAGAAACAGAACCAATCAGATGTGTACATATATAAAAAGAGATTTGTTATGAGGCATTGGCTCCTGTGATCATGGAAGCTTGGCAAGTCCAAAATCTGCAGCTGGGCCCGCAGGCCGTAGACTCAGGAGAGCGGGTGAAGCAGTTGCAGCGTGGAGGCCGGCAGCCGGGAGGCCGAGGGGAGCCAGCTATGCAGACGACATCCAAGAGCAGTCTGCTGAGGCCGTCCCTCTTGCCTGGGAGAGGCCCACGCTTTTCGTTCTCGTAAAGCCTTCAACTGATTGGACGAGGCCCACCAGCATTACAGATGGTGGTCTGCCCTACCCAGAGCTCACCAGTTTAAATGTTAATTGCATCTAAAAATAGCCTCCTAGTTGACACATAAAACTGACTTTCACGGGGAATATTTTAATACTGCTAAAATGTGAATGTTTGTTCTTGCTGAGTGGTTCCTGATAGGCCTACGCGAGGAAAGCCCTCCTTGGATCCTGCTTCTAGAGGGTTCTCCTTCGGCCCTAGTCCAGTCACGTCCCTCTCCACAGGGCAGGAAGCCACGGCGCCAAAGTCGTGGACTCACCAGGAGCCGTGCCCCCGTGCCAGACCCTCTGGCTACCGAAGACCCTGGAATTCTTTGCCCAGGCGGCTTCGAGCCTGTTTCCGGGGCCTGTGTGGAAACACGTCACACACGTCCCCAGCGCCGTGCTCCTGACGCCGCGCTGTGTGCCCACGGTCCCCTCTGCTCGCCGGGGCCTGGCTCTTTGAAGGCAAAGGGTCTGTCGCTGCGTGGGCTGGAATTCCTGCCCGTGTGCCAGCAAAGCCTTCGCGGTGCAGGAGGGAGCCTGGGGCAGGCGTAGAGGGGGGCGGGATGAGGGCCACGCGCCTCTCTCATCGCTCCGCCCCGGCCAGCGGCGTCTCCGGGTGTCTGGAGTCCCAGGCGCGAGCTTCCAGGTCATCGCAAAGGTGATTTATCAGGATGGTAGGATGGAGCATATTTCATATATATTCATCGCCTTGTTAGCTTGATTTGCTGTGACTTTGAAATACGTAGACGCTGTGGTGTGTGGTCTTCCAGTTGCACCTCTGCTGCAGACCTCGCAAATGTTAGGGGAGGTCTTTCCTGCTGAAGGCAAGCAAATGAATAGAATCACAGAATGATTGTTAAAGTTAGAGTCTGAAAAGTGTGTCATAAAATGAGGGTAGGGGTTCCCCCATAAGAAGGAAGAGTTTATATTATGATTAGAGAGGGGCCCGGCACCTTTCATGTCTTGACCTGGGTGGTGGTTACGTAGATATTCATTCTAATCATCCCTTAAACTGAATATGTAGGCTTTGTGCCGCCTGCTCTATGGATAATGGATCTCCCACTACAATGTTTTTTAAAAAAAAAAAACAACAAAAAATTATTGTCCTTAAATTAGGGAAAAAAATCTTACATCTCAGCAAAACTTTTCTTCAGATTTGTCTGCCATAGATTATATTACATCTGTTCTAAGAATCTCAGCCCAGCCATCAAAGCAAATAGAAAACTTTAAAAGCTCTAGAAACAGCTAAATTATATAATGTGTGCATGTGTGTTTGTGTGTCTGTGTGTATTTGATTTTTGTTCTCAAGACGTCAGCTGTGGAAGCAATTGAAAGAAATCCTCTCTTTGCATTCTCAGCTAGAAGGTCTTCAGTAGTTCCCAAGGGTAACGATAAAAATTATTTCTAAGCATGCTTTATTTATTTGACTCCATGCATGTGGGTTTTTATCTGAAAGAACAAGCAATGGTAATAAAAGGCAACGAGGAATATTTACTGTTTTCAGGTTAGAGAATCATTGTGTGTAAACTTTGTTCTATAATTTCGTGAAAAAACTTTCCTGGATGAAATTTCCAATGTGAATATTATATAACAGGGATTCCTTCTCTGTTCTTCTTTTTCAGGTCTCATTTTCACTGAATGAAGAAACTAATGAAGAAGGTATATAGTATGTTTTGGTTCATGAGGAGTGAGATACATAAAGTTGTTTACAGCAGTGGAAACCAAATGAAATAAAATAGATTAATTATATAAACTAAGTAAAATATATTTTTAAATAGTCATTTAAAGTTTCAGATGAAATATCTTATTTTTTAATTTCAGAAAATGAGGAAGAGCAACCCTATATTACTTTCAGGCTAGAAAATGGCTTGATTATGCATTGACCTTTTTTTTTGGTGAAGTACTGAGATATTGCAGCCAGTTCTGATAAATTTAAAAAGACTTAAAATATCTGAATCTGGGAGATATTATCTCTTATCATTTTAACGAGTTACTCGTTTTAACCAAAGATCTTAAAATCAAAATTTATACTATAATAGGATCAAAAATAATTGTAATATTTTTATTACCATTATTTGAAGCCGTTTTAAGAAACAAGTAAAAATGTTCTGTGGTGCCAGTTTCAAAATACAAGCATGTGTCTACAATCAGCTGCCTTTCAAAATATTGCAAGACTTTGGGCCTTGCAACAGAAAGTATTCGAAGAATATTCAACGTGCAAATTTGGAGGAAAATATGACACTTATTTACTATGAGTCAAATTGTAAGATGTTTAGAAAAGAGTCAATCCACAGACACGGTTTCATAGGAAGGCACCGCATTCCTTACGTGGCAAGCTGACAGATCGTTTCTGGGCAGTTCTGTCCCACGTTGGGTATTTGATGGACAGTCAAACTTTATAACCAGGTTTTTCTAAACCTTCCATGCTGTAGCTTAAGGTACTCACTTCTGTGTTGTTCTTTAGAAGCAAAATGACCCAGAAAGATAAAGGAAATAAAGTGGGAAGGCTCTAGAATTTTTAATATAGCTTTCTATAAAGCTTAAGCCAAACAAGAGCACTTAGGACAAAAGTTCAAAGGGACGTGCTAAGCTCACGAGTGCTGCTGTCTGTCTGCACACTTCTCAGGGTCGAAGTCCCTCTTCCTCTCCACCCCGTCCCCAACTTCTTTCTTTCCCCATTTTCAATGCAGAGCAAGCGTGGTACTTCCTTGGCAAGTGACTGGAACAGTTGAAATTCTGCCGTCAAGACTCCAAACCCCAAGGACTCCAAGACTTCCTTCCCCCTTAGTGCTAGAGACAGGCAGGTCTACGAGCATTTGCTGATTTCCTGTCAAAACTTCTTTTTTTCAAATTTGTGGAGATATGCAATATATAAATAAATACTAAAATTTTTGAATTAGTCTCCTTTGGATGTATATTGATATAAAAAGAAAGGATTTGGTGTCATTTCACAGCAGAAATTTAGAAGCATTGAGTTTTCATCAGTTCTAATTTCTATACCTAAGGGAACCCGATGATTTTATTAGCTTTTATTTCTATAGCTTAAGTGTAAAAATCACAGATACACTGAGCTAAGAAAATTTCTGTAGATGCTGTTGCTCTCATTTTTATACCGTGTTATCCCTTTTCAAGTTCATTGCCGATGCAAACCCTGCCCTCCTCCCTTATCAGTGCCTGTGTAAATACGTTACGTTTATTGAGACTCTTTCCTGAAATTCACTATTTCGGAGGCCCCAAACTTTTGACTCTCATTCAGTCCCCTTAGTTTCCATTCTCATCTCTACAGCGATGACTCCTCATCTACATAGGAGATCTCTTCCGGCTCTGCCCGCTGGACATCTCTTTCGATGCCTTTGATGTCTCTTGTCCACACCAGAACTCCTCTTCCCTTGCTCCTGAACAGTGGAATTAGCGTTCTCCTGGTCTCCACCTGAAGCCTCGAAATCCTGTTGAACCTCCTTTACTCGCAAAGACGATCCAAGGTTTCTTTATTTGTTGTCCTCATTCTTTTACTCTGTGCTCTGCGGGTTTCCCGTTTCGTCGGACTCTGGTGACAGCCTTCTGTCTCTGCCTCGTCCCCACGCTCTAGCTCAGCGTCACGCTCTCTCGCCTGCCATCCGAGTGGCGGTTCTGCGCCGGCTGCCTCCCTCCACACCATCCTCACGTTCCCAACAGTGACTTTCCTAAAGCGGGCGTCCTGTCTTGTCACATTTTTCTCAAAACGCCTTCGATGGCTTCTCGAAGTCCTGACAATAAAAATGAGACTCTATTTCCTCAAGAGACGCATCCTCCAGCCGTGCCATTGCAGTGATTTTCGTTGCCAGCCTGCTGTTTTTAGACAAGCCTCCTTGTTTGCGCTGTTTCAAAATTCATTCAACAGTTATTTATCGGCTGCCTTTATTTATGTGCCAGGTACTATTCCAACATTTTTAGGGTGCATCGGTACAAAACAGGCGAAATCGCTGCTCTTGTGAAATTTGCATTTTGTGCGGGGGGAGGATATAATATAATACATAATTTACATTAATATTTAGAAGAAAAAGAACAGAGAAGGGGGCATTGGGAATCCAGCCTGGGTTCAGGGGTAGGGTAGTGAATCGGAGTTTTGAACCGAGCGGGTCAGGGCTGGCCTCTCTGGGAAGAAGACAGCCCAGCAAAGGGGCGAAGAGAAGCGGGAGTGAGCCCACGCGGGTCTCGGGGGAGAGCACCGAGCACAAAAACGCCAGGAGCCGAGGTCCCGGAGCAGGAGTGCGGCTGGCTTGTGCAGGAGCAGCGAGCAGGCCTGTGTGTCCGATGGAAGGATCAGCAGCAGAGATGAGGCCCAGAGAAGGCCGTCGTGAGGACCCGGCCGTCGGCCCCGGCAAAGTGAGGAGCCACGGGAGGGTCGTGGGCAGAGAAGCGGGTCATGGCCAGTGCCGTCCTGTAAATGCTGGGACGCGGGGCACAGACGGAAACCAGAAAATTATTTACAAGGTTTCTGCAGTAATGCAATGAACCTGTGAAGAGTTTTTCCTTCTTTGAGATCATTTTCTTAGTATAAATTTCCTAAGGTGGAGTCACAGAAAAGGAACATTTTGTCGCCACATGGATTTTCCTAAGGGCTATTCTAAGTTATACTGCCACTGGCAATATTTGAGATTTCTGGTTTCTTTCTTCCCATTCTAACTAGGATAGGATGTTTTATTACTGTTGTTATTATTCATAATAGGTTTAATTTTTTTCTGCATATTTACTAGTCATAGTGTCTGGATGGCCTCTGTCTTTGCTTCTTTATTTATGAGATCTTAATGTTTTTATCGATTTATATCCTTAGTTTTAGGTGCAAAATTTAGACCCTGAATACTGGATCCAAGTTTAAAGAGATGAGCCCACCTTCGAATCAGAAATCTAAACCTGGGCCCTGGAAGTATTGATGCTGAGCTGCCTGGGGGAGCCAGACTGGGGCGTACTTACCTCCTTGTTTGAGGCAGAGCTGCTATAGGACTGTCCCTGTTGCGTTGCTGCTTCTTGTTCTCTGTTAAAAGTTAAAAATTGAAAGAAGATAGATTCATAAGCTCATGGAGTGATGAAAAAAGAAGATAACAATTTTTAAAGCTTTCAATAACCCTCATTAAAAAGGGATGAAATAGTAATACCAGTACAGTTTTAAAAGAAACCATGAAGAATGCCAAACAATGAGTCTTACCTCATTTAAGCCGCTAAAGTTGGATGGCTCACGTGCATCTGTGGCCCTGTCTTGGGACCAGGGAGTTGGCAAGACCAGGGATCACCGTCCCAAAGCAGCAACTCTCCCCCCGCCGCGGGAGAGGACATGCATCCTGGGATTCAGGCCAGAATCTCATGCCTGCATCGGAGCATCCTGCCGGCATGCAGGTGGACAAAAACAGCTAGGCCCAGTGTGCAATCAGCAGTAGACTTAGCTGTCCCCTCCTGTCTAACCAGCGGCAACCTGGGCAAGACCACCTGGCCACAGCCTCTCTGTGCGAGAGATTCCTGTACTTCCAGTGAGTGGCAGAGGCAGAAGCAGAACAGAGCCTTGGATTTTGACTCCAAGAACACCTAACGCCTTTTCCACCGTGTGCCATGTTGCTTCTTGAGCTATTTCTCACCCTCAAAGCCCAGCTCAAACTGTCCTCACCCTTCAGACACTTTTTGAGGAGAAAAAAATCTAATTATTATCCTCCTCCGTGAAAGGTAAATAGCACTATTTATTTATCCCTCCATTATAGTATTTAGGTTATCCTGGCTTATGTTAGAATTGCTCATCGTGTCTCTTCTCCTGAATTGTTACAGAAACTCACTGAGAGCAGAGATTGTTTTCTGACAGCTTTTGCATTTGTGTGTTACACACTAACAATTCGTGTCTGTTGAATTAAATCAATGTAGCATCCTGTGAGGAAGACAGATATTCTTCCCAATTTACTTATTACATTAAGTTTAGAGAGGTGAAGCGGATTCCTGGAAACCTGCTTGTCAGTGTTCCGTTACTGGAGCAGAGAGCTCTTTGAGGGGTATCGCTCTGCTCTCTTCCAAATGCCCGTGTGAAATCTCTGAAATACAAGAATCTGCTCATTTTAAGGATCGCCAAAAACAGATTTAACACATCTAGCCTAAATACTCGTTGTTTTACTTTAGCTTATTTTAGTTTTAGTGTATATGGACCTGATCACTGTATTCAGAGAACTCCTCATAAATCTTAAGGTATAAAATTAATACTTTTTTTCAAAATATAAAACATTTTATAATACATTCTTTACGTAATTCCTGCCTCCTAAAATTCTTCTCATCATTGAGATTTTTCTTGAAATCCTTACTGAAATATTATCTGTTTGGCTACGGGACCTCCAAATGAATATAGTAAACATCTGCCTGGTGTCAGAACAAAAACCAATACCTCATTCTTTATGCATTCCAGAGACCTTTCCAATGTGGCGTAGAATATTCTGTGTTTTCTGAAACAACAATTAATGTCCCCCGGTTTGGGGTTTTTTTCCAAGTGAATAAATGATATTCAGAAAGTGAGATTCTCTGAGAGGGATCTTATTATTGATAATACGTGAGGCATTTTGAGAGTTCTTTTGTGAGATTCCGCTAAGCCCCAGAGAAAAAGAGTTTAACTTACCAAGAGCCAACCACTCCGTGTCCACTGCTGCTGGTTTGTGGAGTATGAGAGAGAAAGTAAACGTGAAACACTTAGCAATGAAAATAGACTCCGGGCCCAAAGGCCAGAATGCTTGTTGAAAGTAGAGGTAACGTTTTGATTTCCAGATTAGAAATAACACGAGAGGCACAAGGATAGAGGACCTGAGTCTGAAGAGACAGGCACAACAAATGAAACTAATACGCAGTGAAACGTGAGAAAAACATAATCCACGTGGAGCCAGTAGACGTGGTTCAGTTGATAGACTCTTGTGAAAAACAGTTTAAAGGGCATCTGTTGTACTTAAAACTCCACGTACTAGAAACGACTGTATTTCAGGGGATGTTCTTCTCACAGAAAAGTTAGTTTTTCCTTTTCTTCCTACAACATCCAATGCCATTCCTCTGATTTCTCATATTCTTTGGTTTTTTAGAACAGTCTAGACACTCTCGTTTACTCATGAAGATTCTAGAACTCTGGGTAGGCTCTCACACCATAACTTGATTTTCAGCACTGCCCAATCCGATAATATTTCTTGCAAATGTGACCGAATTAAAGATCAGCTGTAAATCTAGGAATACTATGTGTGACTGAACATTTTAAATCTCGCTTGAGATTGACTCACAGCAACTCTCGTGGGCAAAATTATGTTTAATTTTTATGCATGAGTCTGACAGTAGGCTTTTTTTTTTTTTGCTCGTCCTTGGAATGTTTCCCATCTGCGGCTCCCAGTATCTCGCGCTGGAACAGGAGAAACGAGTGCAGATTTGTGGCCGTCCTTCCCTTAACACTCACGTTGCACAGTGAGAGTGGGTGTCAATCTCTGTTTCCAGTGTTGAGTGTTAACGATGTGTCAGTGCTTTGAGCCAACGGGAGGAACATAAACCAGCCATTCTATTAAAAACGCTGCCTCTATCCCGGCATCTGTGTATGTGGGTCTTTTCCCATGGTGTAAAACAAAAAGTGCAACAAATGAGGTTTTCCACTCCTTGGTGCCTTGAATGAAAGATTTGAAGCAGAGACAGAATTCCAGAGAAAACAGGTGGCATTGGGAGCTGGGACCGGTGCTGGCCAAATACTCTGTGGCACAGATTTCATCCTCTCTAACCCATTGTCTGTCCCAGGAAAGCTTTTTGCAATTTATTGCAAGGAACATATTATGGGAGGAGTGTTCAGGGTGGACCTCAAGCTTGGATCCTGGAGGCAGCCGTGACAGAGA